TCTTTTCAGAAATTCTCTTTGTTGACGTGGTCACCATGCCAGCCGGGGCCCGTAACAGATTGCTATGTGAAAAAAATTGCATTAATCAACAAAACGATGTCAAAGCGAGGCCAGTTTTCAAACTTTTCCAGAGATTTCAATCACATCTTGTGATGTTCATCAACAGACAGATTTTGCAATGCTACAGAGAGCGGCAGAAATTCAGTAAAGGGACCTTAAGTTAGCATTACTTCATCAAAGAACTGTCACAGCTAACGAAGTTTACAATTGAAGTCTACTTATTAGTTTTTGGGAGTTTTTTAATTCTCTTCTGCCCACTAATGAGGTCTGCATTACTTGGTTGAAAGCTCCAGCACAATCTTGTCCATGTCGGCAGCAGCTGTCGACTGCTGTTTGAACAAAGTATTAAGCACAAACAGACAAAGAGCATGCTCAGAATAGCAGAAAGAAAACCACAGCGGCTGTAGGATGTGACGGAGAGCAGCAGCAGAAAAAGTGTGAAACTGAACCTTGAGTTGAGATTTTGTCAACTGTCCAAAAATCATGAGCTGCCAAGATCGACTATGATAATTCTGTGAATCAAACAGTTTCTAAAATTAAGCACACAGAAAAGTCATCAGAGCGAGGTTTAAAAAGTGCTCCATCAAAATTCAAAACAGCAATCCACTCATTCCGGATTCGGCCTTTTCTGCTGTTTAATAACACTTTCTCACTGCGACATGAATATATAAAGTGTCAAATTTCTGTTTTGCAATCTTCTCAATAACTGGCGAGCTCTCCCAGCCTGCGGCCTTGTTTCAAAATCAAATATGAGTCTGAACCCGGAGGCAGCGTTATTAGATTAGCTCTGCTAATAGGCTGTAGCCCACGTTCAGAAGACAGGATATTCACTTAGGCGTTTACTGCCCTCTCCAGCCCTGAAGCTCTGGCAGCGATGAACGGTCCCTCATCGGACCTCGCTGTCACGAGCAGAGAGGCCTGCAGAGTGTCAGGTTTCAGCTTGTCCCTGCAGGTCCACATCTGTCCGTCCAGGAAGACCTGCAGACAGCTGGACGGATGCGTCACTTTGGGATGATGTTTACTGTAAACTGATTACGACACGGTGATCATCATCCGCCCCTGCAGTTTGTTTTATTGTCTGAGGTAAGACTTTAACTTTAACACTAGAAAGCAAAACACAAATATGACAATGCAGTTTAATCTGTTGTTGTTCTGGCAGTTCATCTATATTCTGCCTCCACCCTCGCAATAATATTAATGTTCTTGTCACTACTAGAAGTTTATTGTTTCCCTGTATTTCTTCACGTTATTTAAAGCTGAAAGTTAACGTTTGGTTCGTGTGTTGGAAAGGTTTTCAGTGATTCAGTGTAAAAAAAAAAAAAACAGCCATTAATTTTAACTCTTTAGCTGAGTTTCAGGAATAAAATTAAACCTAATGTATGTAAAAGAAGATGAGGCAGAAGAAGAAGAAGTAGTAGTAGTCTGGAGAGAATCTAAATTTAGTTTGGGATCAAGCAGTTTTTCAAAATGGAGGATAAATGTTTACAACAACTAGCTCTTTAAATAAAACAGCTAAATTTCCAAAAACAAGACTAAACACTGAAATAAATCAACAGAAATGTTATTTGGATGTATTACTAAGTAGCAACAGCAGCATGTCTCTTTATGTTTACTCCAAAAGGCAGAAACCTGCTGATGTAAACCCAAAATCCTCACAGTGTTCAAACTTCTGTTGAGAAATTCAGCTTTGATAGACTTGACGTCTTTTTTCCCCCTCATTACTAACAAAATCATTCCTGAGTTATACAGGGACACTTTGACCCCTGACCCTGGAACATGTATTACAGAAGTCCTGCTCAGGATCCTGCTGAACAAACACCTGTCTGTCCTGTGTTCACACTGTTGGACGACTGCAACCTTCCAGTGAATGAACAGACGTGACAACGGACTCATGACGCTTGTTTGTAATTGACTGAAAGGTGGGGAAAAAAAGAGGAAGAAGAAAGATGGTATCCAATCTGTGGTTTGTTAAAAGTAAAGGTGCTAACTGGAACTAAAAGTGGTTGCCATAGAGGACCCATTTTTAGTTCAACAAAGAACCTTTTTGCTTCCCAAAGAAACATTTCCTCAAATGACCAATCAAAAAATGGATTCTTTAGGCACCATAAATGAAACTTCAGAGACCTTTTGCAAAGACAAGCTCTTTAAGGAACCATGTTTCAGCCAGTTCTTCGAGGGCCCACAAGGTTCTGGTTTGATAACAGAGCTTGATAATGATTTATTTCTTAGATTCAAGAAAAAACTAATTTAAAATGCATTCATTAGATTTTACTTTACATGAGATCATATGTATTTTTAATGAATATTTAGATGTGCAAAAACAATGACATGACCTAAATAATTATAACACTATACATACAATGAAATAGTCATAAAACTGTTTTGACAGATCATCAATACTTGTAGATTTTTTGATAACAACATATTCATTTAACACTTTTGTTGTGAGAGCCTCTGTAATTATAGAAGATGTATTTCATCTAACAAATGAATCTGTGTAAAAGTTCAAAGTCAATATTTCATTTTCTGTTATTGGCACCATTTACACACATCTATTTCAAGTATTCAGCTTAATCCACATCATCTATTTAATGAAATAGAGAAAAGGGAAAATTACACCATATTTGTGAATGTATTTTAATGCTGTTTTTATGTTTTCAAAAAAATATTTTTTTTTCTCAACAATTTTAAATTGTATGGTTGTTCACAGTTGCAGGCTGTTAATTATATTTCAAATCAGACATTTAAATTATCAGCTATTTTTGTAACTTTACTGGTAAATTGTATATTTCAAAAGTACACACACACACACACACACACACAAAAAAACCTTAAAGCTATTTATTTTGTACAAAGTACTAAGCTTAGATTTATCCAGGCTGGTCAGAGCCTACTTGTTGTTTTAACTGAACAATAGTCGTGTTAAATATTTAAAATCTAAACACACTTTATGTAACTGGTAAGAAATAGATGAAGGTCACAAAATAAATATTCTATCATTTATATTGACGAAAGTGTAAAGAAAAAAAAATATCATGACTAAGGACTCTGTAAAAAATCTAGCAGTGCCAAAATTTATTTTTTTAATTTCTTAAAGGAAGGGAATACTGTAACGTTCAAAAACAAAGAAGCATAAACAAAGAAAATAATGGCGAATATCTGGAGAATAATCACATTATTCACTGTTTTAAACATAGTTAAACTGCGTAATTTTACAATTAGAAGAAAATAATTATTAAACAAATTATTTCTGTCATTTAACTAGACATTATCTGTAATTTAAGAAAACAGGGAAAATACTATAAAATTACAGTTTAAAATGGTTTTCCCTGTTTCAACCATTACTATACATATTTTTTTCTTCCAAATCATTAGAAATATCTGTAAAATATTGTTATTTTTCTTCTGATTTAAACTGTGTTTTTTCAGATACAATGTTGTCAATAGACTGTGAAAAAACAGACATTTTGATTTTATCTGCATTTTACCAGAATATAGTAAAACTGTAATAAAACAATAATAAAATGTTCAAAGAATCGCAGTTAAAAAGCTTTTTTGTGGTCAGATATATTTTATTTTTATATTAATAGTTGTGTTTATATTTTTATTATACATTTTTATTTATTTATTTTTTTT